AGAAATAATCTGAGGTTTGAAGTGAAAAAGTAATACCGTTTTTGAATAGCCGTGAATTCATGTAGAGAAGACCTTTCAATATGAAAAGGTATTCATTAGAAAGATTTAATGGAGTATTTTCATTTTACTCTAACAACAAAGTTCGAGTTTATTATAAAAATAACGAGATATTTTAAAAAAGTTTCATATGACACGAATTTCAAATTTAAACTTTATTTTTTGGGGATGGAATTTTCTATGATACAATTCATAATAAAGATCTGATTGGTTCACATATTAATTTTTGATACTAAATATGGTCCTCTGCTGACCTTTTTATGCAGTTGTTATTGTACATAGTATTTTCGGAAAAAAAAAGCCACACTTTTCTTAGATCATCATAATAACAATGTGTTCGAGAGATGTTAAACTGCAAATGTTCATATTTTCTTTTAAAGGCCGTAAAAACCTTTCTACTTTCAATGACACTTGATAACCTTCCGTTCTTTCTCTTGCTAGTCTTTTAACTTGTGCTTGATTTTTCTCTTCCGTGTTGAAACCAACATGAATTTAATAATTAATTTTTTTCTTGCCATGAAAACAAAAAATGCATTATCATCTATTACACCGAGATAAAATCGTTATATTTTAAGAACCATTACCTTTTTGATCAATTAATGAAGGAGGAAATCTTAGCAAACAATAAACTATTACTTTTTCGATTAATAAAACTGTTGATAAATAAAGAAACTACTGTTTTTCCAATTAGTTAATGAATGAAAAGGATCTTAGCAAACAAACCATTACTTTTTTGATATGGCTCACATCAACCAATACTTCCTTTCCAAGTTTTTTATTTTAACTTGGCAAAAACTTTTTTATTATTAATTCAATCTTCTTTTTTTTTTTGCCTGCTTCGTTTCTTATTTGCCCCAACAAATTTATAAATAAATAATAATACTAAATATATACTTTTTTTAAAAATTTCATCTACTATTTATTCTTTCCGCTTTTCAATATGGATTTGTTAACCGTTGAGTCAATTTCTGACTGGTTTGCTAATGAAGACATAAAAACGATTTCTGTTAATTCATTTAATATTAATAGAACATATTCTCTTAAAACTGACGAAATTGGTACTAATGATAATTTGAAAAGGTTTTTATACTCAAATGTGATAAATACAGAGTCTTCGATACAAACTTGAAGTATTTATTGATTGAAAATTATGAAATTACTTACATTTGATCGGTTAAAAAATAAAAAATTACATTGAAAATCATATCAGGCATATAAAAATAAATTAATACAAGCCCAATAGAAATACCTCTCAAAAATAATTAAATACCACTAATATCTTATATTAGATAGTTGTTTTTATTATATACCAATCATTTTTTTGTCCATAAATGAATATCATTGCTGTTTGTTTTTATCTAACAGTTGATGAAGCAAGAATATAATGTAATTTAATTGATCAACGAAATTATTTTGGTTTTGATATGCAGAGTTATTATTCGCATTAAATAAATTCTGTTCGGCGAAGCCATTGTTATTATTGTTGATACCTGTTGAAATAGCAGTGTTCTGGTCAGCAAGGCCATTATTATTATTGATAATACTAGTTAAGCCATCAAAAGTGTTATCTTTAACGAAACCACTATTACTGGCAATATCTATTGAGGTAAGAGAGTTTTGGTCAACGAAATTATTTTGATAAATCAAGTTATCATCTCCAGAATTTTTTCATTAACGAAATTGTCATGAACTAAGTTAAAATTAAGATGATTGTTGTCGCCATCGTTTTGATAAGCAAGAAGGTTATTGTCTCCAAAAGTTTGAGTAATGGAGTTATCATGAAGTAAGTTTTGTTGGACGTTTTGATAATCGAAATCATTGTTTCCACGAGTTTGAGGAACGTGGAATGAACTTGTTTGTCCATTAAAAAATGGAAGAATGTTTTGGTCGTTGAAAATATTATTTTCTTTGTTGTTATTATCTTTATCCATTTCTAATATACAATATACTGTATTAATTTTATTTATAAATGATTTTTATTAATTATAATTATTTATTTTTTTTAAAAAAATTTTTTGGTTCAAATTTTTTTAGCGTTTTTATACGACATGTTGCTAACACAAAAATCGAGAAGCGTCACTCTATTAACTAATTTAATGACTTTGAAAGTTGACAATGGTTACACGAATTTATAAATTAAACAAGATTTTAGCAGAGGATGCGCAGTGAGCTTTTTTGAACTTTATTAAAAAAAATCTGAGATTCTCATATTTAATATATATATTAATTAATTAATTGGCCAAGACCTCTTTGGTTTACATTTT